TTACAAGAAATATTTTTATAATATATAAGAATCTGTCGCGTCAACCTATATTAAATATTGCAAAAAAAATATTTCGTAAATATCTGATTTAAATGGCAAAGAAATATTGTTATAATATTCAAGAATCTGTCGCTTCAACCTATATTAAATATTGCAAAAAAATATTACTGTAATATTTGTGTGCTAGCTGGGAAGCCATTGGGACACAAACATGTTTGTAGTTAAACGGGCAGAACATGATGAAACCAGCAACTTAAGGGAAGAATTTTATTCACTAACTGGTTGGTTAACATGTTCTCTATTCCTACAAGGGGCTTACCCCCATATTAAACATACATTCATTACATTGTATATGCTTTCCTGACTGTGTTTCAATTCCAAATCAAAATTAATTCCTGGGTTTCAGTCATTTATTGTCTCTATTTTTCAATTAAAATACGTTTCGGTGTATTTTTCCACCATCATCAGATTTTACGTGTAGCGTTGTTGCTGCTTTAAGCCTTGGCGTGCATTTTTTGCCGAGCAAGAAAATGCATGCCAAGGCTTAAAGCAGCAACAAAGCTACACATAAAAACTGATGATGGTGGAAAAATACACCGAAACGTATTTTAATTGATAAATAGAGACAATAAATGACTGAAACCCAGGAATTAATTTTGATTCATTACATTGTTCTACCAGAGAATAGAAGCCATTACATGGCAGGATCTAGTGAAAATTTGACGATCCATAGTCCGCATTTCCATCACATTTGCCCTGCTAAACGAATTGCTATAATTCTAACAAACTAACTCACCGCTTGTTCACGACAGCCGGAATTTAACAATTGTTAGGGAAAAAAACCAAGTTTATATGATCTTCTCTACTTACGAACACAAGTGGGCAGTTCTTTTGGGCTCCAGTTGCCATCGCTCTGACAGAACCGATCTCCTTTGCCTACCAGCTCATAGCTTTCCACGCAATGATACGAAATCCGGCATCCGAACGTGTAACATTCGCCCGCATGGTATCCATGCGGTATCTGAGTGGGAGAACCGCAACTTCTAGCTGGAGGATTACAAAGCAATTATCCCGGGGATTCAGGTTTAACCTTGATTGCTTCGAGAATCAATAGAACAGATTCTTGATCTCGATCCTGATTGAGAGATTGATCGTAGACGCCCCCCAAGCAAAATACTCCAGAGGGTTCAGATCGGGCGGGCGTGGAGTCCAAGTCCTGCCAGAGTATGTTGCATAAACTCCACATGGTAAAACAAGGAAACCCGCATGGAAACTTTCCTCCAAAGCCATGGGAGTTAAAGAAAATGTTTTCATCATATGGGGACACTATTCTCACCTGTTTTAACTCCCGAAGTTATCAAGACCAAACCTGAGTCACCCGGTGAATTAATATAGAGACGAAATAGTTGTCGATTGATAGGGGGAAAAGTCGAATTAATGAAAAGTGTGGGCTTACGCTCGCAGGACATATCGGGGCCATACCACGACGCCAGGCCATCAATAGCCAAACACTTCGCTTTGGGGAACCCATTGGTGACATAGCCAGTATGGCAAAAGTACTTCAATGTTGAATCCAGATCGAAAGTGGCCTGCTCTGG